TAACTTTTGTTGATTTTCCAAAGCTTTTCATACTGTGAGCAGAAAAGGTCTGTGGAATATTTTGGAATGATTAGGATGTCCCCCCAAGTTCCTCAAAATGATCATCTCACTCCAAGAGGATCAGCACGGCCAAGTCAGATATGGCAATGCATTTTCTGAGCCCTTTCTAATTACCAGTGGTGTGAAACAAGGCTAGGTTCTTGCACCAACTCTATTCACAGTCTTTTTCAGCATGATGCTCCAAAGGGCCACGGCGGACCTCGATGATCAGGATGGTATCTACATCCGATATAGTACTGATGGAAGCCTTTTCAACCTGAGGTGACTGAAGGCCCACACCAAGACCTTAAACCATCTTGTCTGGGTTGCTTTGTGCTGACGATGCCGCCCTCGTTGCCCACACAGAAGCAGCTCTGCAGCGTTTAACATCCTGCTTTGCAGAGGCTGCTGAGCTTTTTGGGCTGTAAGTCAGCTTGAAGAAGACAGAAGTTTTCTACCAACCTGCACCTTAGGAAGTCTTCCATCATCCTCACATCATCACTGGCGAATCAGAGCTCAAGTCAGTCCAGCAGTTTAATTATCTGGGAAGCACCATCTTCTCGGATGGTAAGATTGACAAAGAGACAGACAACAGGTTAGCAAAGGCATATAGAGCTTTTAGAAAACTCCATAAAAGAGTTTGGTGTAATAAACACCTGAAGAAAAGTACAAAGATTAGTGTTTACAGAGCCATTGTGCTGTCTACTCTTTTATATGGGTCTGAATCACGGGTCATTTACCTCCACCACTTGCGACTCTTAGAACACTTCCATCAGCGCTGTCTCCGTACAATCCTAAACATCCACTGGACTGATTACGTGACTAATGCATCTATTCTTGAACAGGCAGTGGTTACATGTTGCTGAGAACACAGCTGTGTTGGGCAGGACACGTCTCAAGGATGTAGACTGCCTCCTCCCTAAGACTGTGCTCTATGGCGAACTTGCCACCGGCTGCCGCAAAAGAGGAGCCCCGAAGAGGAGATACAAGGACTCCCTGAAACAATATCTCAGCTTTGGCCATACTGATCATCATCATTGGTCTACTCTGGCCTCCAATCAGGAGACATGGAGATACACTATACATAATGCTGCTGCTCCTTTTGAGAACACACGCAGAATCATTCTTGAGGAGAAAAGACAATGCAGAAAGAATCGTGTCTTGCCAATACCGCCTAAGGAGACTTTCCGCTGTGCCTTTTGCAACTAGACTCGTCTATCTCACATTGGTCTTTTTAGCCATCAGTGAGCTTGTAGCAAATGTGTGTAGAATCCTTCTCAAATCTTCGTTTGCGAAGTCGAGCCATGAAGTTACCAATGCAGACCACAGCATTGTGAGGGCTACTATGGAGAAATAAATTCCGGCTCAGCCAGACCCACCACAGCCATTAATATAATTATTAGAATTGATAAAAAGTTTTCGGTAATTAAACCTTATTTTTTGTTTTCCAGTTCTGCTCAGCTGGAAATTTTCCGTTTTTCTAATCCTTCAGTTCTCCTTTTCTAGTAATTTACACTGGGAAAGCTATCACTTGTAGCTAGGAATAGCTTTTCATGATCAGAAATAGCACCATATTAAAATATAAACATTCAATCTATACTTCTTTAAAAGCCCAAGAATTACATATATGAAATTCTTCCTCTTATCTGAAAAGGGCTGTAATTCATCATTACTGGTCCTACTTGTATCTGATGGTAGAGCTGAGAATTTCTTGAGTGAAATAGATAAAATAACTTTCAGAAATGGAGGAACAATGACACTGACTGATTCTCGAGGACTTTTATTCTCACTACCCAGGACATAAAGATAGAGGTGAAATCAACAAAATTTCTTCTCGTGGATGCTTTTGAATTACTACCTTAGGCTCACATGGCTCTCTCTCCTGTGAATCTCATCCCACACGGGAGCATTCAGGGACCTCACATTCCTAGTTCTGCACAGAAAGCTTGGAAAATCAGTGGCCATTGATGCCACAGAAGCTGCCACGCTCCTGAAATTAACGTCTTGGTAGAAAAGCCCTCAGAGTCCTCCCCAGACAACTGAAGGCAAGTATGAAATGAAGGCAACTGATGAAATGAAGAAATGACAACTACAGTAGCTGATTATGGCAGTATCAGGGGCTTCAGCATCCAGGATCTCCACTCTATCTAGGGATGCAGGTAGGTTTACACTGCCATGACACAATCAGTGCTGTTGTACCTGGGTTAATATACACAACAGCAGCTACCTAGGTTATTACTACACAAGCTGAGGAAGTTGCACTCACAACTCTGAACTTCAATGCAAGAGCACTCTTCTGATATACTTAGGACACTGTTTATTACTTAATGAAACAAAAATTGACAGATGCGCGATTTGCATTTGTTTACAGTTCTCATATTTTTAGTGCAAATTAAGCATATTCTTCATCAAGGCATGCCATCAGTTGTATTCCCAGAGGAAAATAAATTAATAGAAACAGTTCTTATTTTAAATGCTGATTTCTTGTCAAAAAGATGGCATGATATATCAACTCCAACAAAGTCAGTTTCAGCTTATTTTGTTCCCTCCCCCTCCATTGTAATATCTGATTGACTTAATGGCTCACTTAAGAAAATGGAAGCAATTAAACTTCTTTTTTTTTCTTTCTAAAGTATCTATCACAACTGTTTAGTTAGGAATTATTTCTTGTTAACGTTAATTTTTGCATTCCTATTCCTATACTTCAGTCACTGGTTTTGAGCTAATGACAAAATAATATTCAGAGAAAAATGGAAGTGATTGGGTTGACTGAATGACATAATCTTCATTTCACTACATCTATTCTGTACTGATAAGTAGTATATTTATAATGCAAATGGCTTTATAAATAGGAGGAGAGACTACACAAATCCAGGAACATAGATTTTTTATTTCATGGAATGAAAAGGGATCAAAATATTTGGCCGTGAAACGGAAGTAGTAGTCATGGAGAAACTAGTACCTCTCCATACTTAGAAATTATGAAATTCACATTCCCAGTGCTTAAGAAATTGTAAGCTTTACAGATCAACAGCTAGACTGAATTAAAAAAAATACTTCACTCCTTTTTTTTCAGTGCAAGGACCATTGACTACCTCTCCTGAAATGTCCCGAGAAGCCTTTTCATTGGTGTTATTTCATGCTTTCAGACAGATTTTTAACTAAAAGTTCATTTCAGATATATTTTGTTTTGTTATTAGGAAGAGAAATCACATAGTATGTCCCAAAAGAGTGCACTGAGATAATCCACCTTTGTATTTTATTACTATACTGTGATTTTCACCAAAAAAAAGCATTAGAAGTTATTTTGATCTACTGAATAATGATGACAAAAATAATTTAAAAGAGATTTCTTAAAAGGGCAAACTCAGCAAACAGTAAAATAAAAAAATTTAAAAATATAAATAAGTCAAAATATTTGAAGTACTATCATTACCAAGAATCAAAGTTTACTGGAAAAAATATTCACATACTACTACAGTTATAATGTTAGGATCAGGACTGGAAATAACAAAGCTACATAACACGTTCTGTAAATTTCTTAGTTGACTCCATGCAACGGCTTGCATTATGTTGGCAGTGCTATAGCTATCCCATCAGATAATCCTAAGTATTACTGTTATTTTACCTAAAACATATGGGGACCATATTACACATTTAGGAATTAAAAGTACATTGCCAAAGCATCAGTGCACATCTCTTGAAAAAGTCCATTCTAACCAGCAGATGTGATATTCTCTATATATGTGCAAGTTTCTACATACATGCTGCTACTATTTTGTACCTTCTCTGAGATATTTGTCATTTTTCAGTTAGAAATTTGGAACACAATAATTATTGATCTGACAACTCCTAAGTTGCATAGAATAACTTCCTCCTCCTCCCCACCTTTTATACTTCCTAAGCACATGTGAGAGGAAAGGATAATTTTTTTTAGTTAGTGATCAAGATTCAAAAGAGAAAGGGAGAAACAGTTTACAAAATTAACCTACATTTGCAATATTTTACTTGTTTTACTTGTACTTACTGCAAAACTAAGTACTTACTACGTCTTATGAATTTGTCAACTAGATTCAGCTGTAAAGGTATTCTGGGGGAGGTGTTTGCTGTCTCAAGACAGTGGGATCAAGATAACATAATTTATTTTACAATAGTAGATTGGCCTTTATAAAATAATGACTTTGAAACACTGATTAAGGTGCAATTCAACTGCTGTTTCCCTTCTTTCTAATTTAATTCATCTTATGTTGAAGAGTTGTACATTATATTATAAAAGAAGAATTCAAATCTGAACATGCTCTGATGACAGAAAAAGGAATACAAACCATCCTTTGCAATTAGGGCATGCACCACGAGAAGGTACATTAAAATTGCATTACCTACTGTAACAAAGTGTCCTTCAGCATATCTGCAAATACAATTTTCTCCCATTTTCAAATACTTTTAGACTGTCAGAGTGAAGTGAAGTAGCTTTAGCTTCTAGGACTGAAGTTTGACAAGGGTAAAAGTGTCAAAAGTTTTCTTCCAAGATAACCTTAGATATTCTTGGCAGCTATAGGTACTGAACTCCCTGAACTCAGGTTTTATTCATTGATTTAAGGACAACTTGGCTTTAATTGTAATGTATGTCCCTTTGGAAACCAACACTTTGTTTCAATTTGGTCACAGTCTAACAACTGATTTCAACATGGAAAATATTTTGTTGACAACATTTTTTCCCATTACAAAATCATTATATAGTTATTAGCATGAAACACATTATTTTTATTGTCATCCAGCTGTTTTCAGAGATAAGGTATTTATGCTTGGTCCGACCCCTGAATTCAGAACATTATGTCCTTGTAGCATTGCAATAAAAAAAAAGGTTGTTGGGAATGCCTTTTAGATGACTTAAAAGAAAAAATAACCATGTAGATAAAGAATGAGTAAACCACTTTAATTTGTTCTGAACTCATGTATACCTGAACGCATAGCATCTTTTTGAATGCTTTCATAATCATGCCAGTCCTTCCTTTTTAAGCCATCAGTCCAGGTAAAGAGCTGTCCATCTCCCAGCCCCAATGGAAGTGTCTGTGGAAACAGTAAATAAACAAACAAATAAATATATACATACATATGTGTCTTGCATTATTACAGAGGAACAGTCAAGCAAATAAAACATTCAGCTTATTCAATACAAATATTGAAACTTTACTGTGGTAAATGAAGTACCTTGATTTTTTCCTTAAACTACCACTCATGCAAAATTGGAGTTATATTTACTCTGTACCCTTCAATGTTTCCCTTTAATTTTTTTTATTTTTTCAATACTTGCTGTTGAGTTATTGGTATTTACACAAGGTCAAAGGACTGCATCAAAGGCATAGAGCAAAGAGATCCCCCAAACACTTTCAAATCTCGTAGATCTTTCTTTATGATAAGTGATAAGGGGAAAAAAACAAACACACACCACCACAAAATACCCAGAAAAAAAACCCCATATGACATCTAGTTGGTAAGTTGACTTCCTCTTTCCAGACTCCTGATTCTTGGGTAAAGCTAAGAACTGCCTTTTGCTTCTAGGTGAAATTATCTTTCTAGAGCTTTTATTTTCATCATTCTTTCTGCCAAATGCTAGTATTTTTATGAAAAATAAGAATCGAAAAGTCCCATTAGAAGTACATGAAATGTAGATCTGTAGGAAGTAGTGCAAAGCTGCAGTAGGTTTCAAATAAAGTTAGCCTTTTCTAAATGCTTAATTTACAAAAAATGTGGTAAAAATGGACAAAATTTGACAAGCAAAGAAGATGACTGAATCAGTAGGTTTGAATCAGCAAACTGTTCAGAATAAAGAGCAGATATATAAAGCATGTTAGAAACATTGTTATCAAAGTTCTGTGAAAACACACTCAAAAAGCAGTTCCAGGCACACAACATCTGATCAACCTTCTAACAGGAAATACTGAAAGCTCTACAAAAATCGTATGCATATGTAACAGTGATACTTTGCCCTTCATGTATCAAGTCTGTAAACTCAAACAGCATTGGACTCACCCATTTGCCATTCCTGATTTTACACTACTGGCTGCACAAAACTGGATGACACTGACTGCCTCAGAGTGAAATTGTCCCAGCATGCTCAGCTAGGGTTTCTTTTTTTAGGATAGACAAATATTTGCCAAGCTACATGATGAAGATGTGGTCGCTAAGCCATCCTTAAAACTGAGGTTCTTAGGCTTTTGAATTTGTAAGCAAGAAGTGAGGAATGCCAGGCATGATTGGTTACCTTTACGCAAAGGATGCTAGAAATCCTGGCTGACAAAGACTCATGCTGAAAAGCTCTGCTTTGGGTCAGATGAGAATGTTGGACATTCAGGGCAAAGTGGTGTGAGCTCAGTGGTCTCCAATAAATCCCTGAGATACCAAGAAAAATCCATCACATTCTGCTAGCATGACCTACATTTTTTAGTCTTAATATCAAAGGTAATTTATGTTACATAATGACAAAATGCAACCCAGTCTGTGGTTATTCTTCTATTAAAACTTTTGCAGACATATTCCAAGAAAACACTCTGTTGTCTCTGTATTTTAATATAATACAAGTCAGAGATTCACACCTGGAAGAATCAAAGAACTTAATATATCCTGATAAAAATATTTCTGGTTATCAAAATATCTAACCTTTCATGTTCTTGAAATGAAGTCACTAAATTCAGTAATTCTTGAGTTCAAACAATGCTAATGTTCTAATAGTAATACAAAACTGCTTGCTTTTTAAAGTCAGAAGCATAAGGTAGGACACAGGCTGCAAGAGCGCTAATCATGATTCTGTAGCTCAAATTCCTAAAATCATCTACTCTAAAGCAATAGCTGGCTCTTTAAAAGGCCCAGACAGATTCAATTAAACTTCTATCTCTTGTCAGTATGGGTACAGTTGGTGTCAATCACTTGGTCCCAAAAAATCAAGACTATCGAAACTATCAAAAGCAGGATAAACTTTACTTTTGTGACCCTTTTTTCCTATGCTGGCTTCTTTCCCTAAAACCAGTGATCTAAATGGCAAGTCTGTAGGACACTGAAAGACAGCTGAATAGTAGAGTTTAGAGGTTTCTGGTTTGTCTATTTGCATTTTGATGCCATTACTCTTTAAAAGTATTAATTACATGTAGTTACTTTACCTGATAACATTTACAAGTCTAACGTACCAGGAGGCCCTCTTGCAAGCATAATATAGTTAAATAAATATATCTACTAAAATTAATATAGCAAAAGGATAAATATACATCCAAATATTGTGCGATACACAAAAAGCTCACAGAAATCATGCTGTGGCTCATATTTTGGAAGGGTAACAGTGCCCTAAGAGGACATAAGAAATGAACAAATCCAAAACCCTAGTGTTGGTGCCATCATAAGTCCCTGTTTAACAACTGAGTTTTGTTTGGATTACTGAGATTTTTTTGTAATAAGTCCCTTAACTCCCTCACATCATACCATGGTGACTTTTCAGCTCTAACACTCTTTCAGTGTAAGGGGAATTAAATACAATGCTCTCGCATGTCACTTCTTAACTAGTATTCAGACTGCATAACCTCAATGAGGACTGAACATTGTGACACTTAGAGGGACTGGATTTCATGAAACTCACCCTGTGTACACAGTTTTACCTCTGCAGTGAGCATGGAACAGGGATTAGGAAGGGATGTCGAGTTTCACAGCCAAATTTTCTGGAAAGAGCAGGAGTTTTGCAGTGCAAATTCTATAGCTCTCAAGAGATCGGAACTGCCTTCACTCCCTTGCCAGCAACTGAAGGATTTTCTTTTTTTTTCCTTTCCTTTTTTTTTTGACGTTGCTATATTATTTAACAAAATACAAATGCACTTCAGAAAACGGATTCCTCCATTTCACTTCTGCCTAAGGGTAAACAAATTGCATTTTCAAAGACCCTAAAACACAGTTTCTGGAATGTTTTAAAACTGCTAAAAGGCTCCGTTGTAAAACTCTAAGTATGTTCACATGCCTCTTTTCCAGATGATAATGACTAGAAGAGCTCCCATTTCTAAAGCATTTCTAGCTGTCAAGTAAGGAAAAGAAAAAAGAAACTAATAAAAAATGTAATATTCTTATTCTAGTTCTCCAATTTTTTGGATACATTGACAATTTAAACTATATTCTATCTTGCATCAAGTTGGCGGGGCTGATCAGGAGGGCTTTAAACTAGGTTTGAAGGGGGAAGGGATTGAAACCGGGCTCTCCAGAGAGGAGCCTAAGGGTGAAAAGCCTGAGTTGAGAGTGAAATAAGCAACCCAGCTGAAATGCATGTACATCAGTGCACACATCATGGGTAACAAACAAGAGGAGCTGGAAGCCATCGTGCAGCAGGAAAGCTATGATGTAGTTGCCATCATGGAAACATGGTGGGATGACTCGCATGACTGGAGTGCTAGCATGGGTGGCTACAGGCTCTTCAGAAGGGACAGGCAAAGTAGGAAAGGTGGAGGGGTGGCTCTATATGTTAGAGAGTCTCTTGACTCTCTGGAACTTCAAGTCAGTAACAATAAGGTTGAGTGCCTGTGGATCAGAATCGGGGGGAAGGCCAACAAGGCCAACATCCTGGTGAAAGTCTGTTACAGACCACCCAATCAGGATGATGAGGGTGATGAATTATTCTACAAGCAGCTGGCGGATGTCTCAAAATCGCCAGCCCTTGTTCTTGTGGGTGACTTTAACCTGCTGTATGTCTGCTGGGAACTCCACACAGTGGAGAAGAGGCAGTCTAGGAGATCCCTAGAGTATATAGAGGATAATTTCCTGCTCCAGCTGGTAAATGAGCCTACCAGGGATGGGGCCTCGCTAGGCCTTGTGTTCACAAACAGGGAGGGGCTGGTGGGAGATGTGGTGGTTGGAGGCCTTCTGGGGAACAGTGACCATGAAATAATAGAGTTTTCAATACTCAGGCAAAGAGGGCCATCAATAAAACCTCTACGCTGGACTTCCGGATGGTAGATTTCGGCCTATTCAGAAGACTAGTCCAGGGGTTCAGGAGGGATGGACATGCTTCAAGGAGGAAGTCTTGAACACACAGGAGCAGGCTGTCCCAGTCTGCCAAAAGGCAAGTCGTCGGGGAAGACGACCGGTCTGGCTGAACAGGGAGATTTTGAAGGAAATTAGGGGGAAAAGGAGAGCCTACCGATTATGGAAAAAAGGGCTGGCTACTTGGAAGAGTTTAGGAATATAGTTAGGTCATGTAGAAAGAAAATTAGAGAGAAGAAGGCATAACTTGAACTTAATCTTGCCACTTCTGTGAAGGATAACAAAAAGTCCTTCTACAGGTACATTAATAGCAAAAGGAGGGGCAAGGAAAACCTCCATTCTTTATTGGACATGGGTGGGAATATAGTTATCAAAGATGAGGAAGGCCATCTGGGGAGGTCCCAGATGACTGGAAGTTGGCGAATGTCATGCCAATCCACAAAAAGGGCCGGAAGGAGGACCCGGGAAACTACAGGCCCGTCAACCTGACCTCAGTGCCTGGAAAGGTTATGGAACAGATCATCCTAAGTGCAATCACACAGCACCTACAGGATGGACAAGGGATCAGACTCAGCCAGCACGGGTTTAGGAAGGGCAGGTCCTCTCTGACCAACTTGATCTCCTTTTATGATCAGGTGACCCGCCTGGTGGATGAGGGGAAGGCTGTGGATGTGTCTATCTGGACTTCAGCAAAGCCTTTGACACCATCTCCCACAGCATATTCCTGGAAAAGCTGTCAGCCCATGGCTTGGACAGGGGCACCCTGTGCTGGGTTAGGAATTGGCTGATAGCCAGGCCCAGAGAGTGCTGGTGAACGGTGCTGCATCCAGACGGCAGCTGGTCACTAGTGGTGTCCCCCAGGGATCAGTGTTGGGTCCAGTTCTGTTCAATATCTTTATCAATGATTTAGATGAGGGGATTCAGTCCACCATCAGCAAATTTGCAGATGACACTAATTTGGGGGGGAATGTTGATCAGCTGGAAGGCAGGAGGGCTCTGCAGAGGGACCTGGACAGGCTGGAGAGTTGGGCTGATTCCAACAGGATGAGGTTTAACAA